AGCACACACTTGCTCCAATTTGGAGACATTTGCTTCTAGATTAAAAAATATGACAAATATTTTGAAAAGGAATGGATATGAAGAAAGCTTCATTACCACCAACATCGTTAAATGTCTCTATAAGAACAAGTTCATTTGTTATAAATACTCTTTAAAAGATAGCCTTAAAGGTATTCGTTTGGTTATTGAAAGTATTGTGGGTGTTAATACACTAAGGTAATATAAACTACTATAGTAAAAGAGACCTCAACCTTTTCATACTTTCTACACTCTTCTCTTCTACCATTATGTCAATTTATCTTTCTACTCTTGTGCTATCCCGGTTATTATTACGCTCCAATTTAACTGCGTACCTACGTAACTGACTATCACAGTGTACTTGATTCTCTTCAATGGGATTTCCTATACATATCCCATGTGCATGACTCTGCTATTACTCATTCTTCTACATTGAGACTTTTTCTTACTGACCCTGGCTTCATTTATTACCCACCATAGTGGGTTGCAATGCCTTTTACTCATTCTTCTCATTCCGTCCATCCCACCTCACTGAGGAGCCTCATGGGATGGATGGAATACAGTGGTTCGTCTGAGTAGAGGCGAAACGAACCACTTCAAACTCCTTATATAACAACCTTGACTCATTTTCATCTCTTACCTTGTAGATTGGACTGCGCTGATGCACACTTAACCTTCGAGGGAAACCCGAGGTGAGTGTTAGCATCAGTTCCGTCTATCGGGATATACCTTCGAACATTCCTTTATAGAGGCAATTGCCTCAGGTCACCAGTGGTGATTTTTCCGGACCAGTGGTCCCCAATACGTCAGTTGACGTCTTGCATAGTAGTTTGTTATAGTCATGACTTGTTCTTTACCAACATTTATTAGTCTAAACATTATAACATAACTCTCAACAAATTCTTCTTTTTAGTCATTATTACATAAGCTGAAACATAAGTCTTCACTTTTTCATAAACATCCTTCTTTTCATTCATTCACTCATTACTGCATATTTCACTCCTTGACATTTTTGAGCTGTTGCCGGACTCCGAACCAGTAGCATCTCTTTTACGGCTATTACGTTCCTAAATAGGTACTTCCCAATAAAGAATTCCTGTATACTATACATATATTGATACCTTTTCCATTATACCTTCAGATGAAAAATTGCTCCCTTCGGAGTCCACAAATAAAAAAAGATTCTAGGGAACAGGAACCCCACTTGAGTTTACCTTCCTATAATACAGTAGGTATCAATTAATATTAATTCACCGACAAAATAAGTACATTGTACTCCTTCAGCTCGGATGTAGATAAAAGATCCTTGATAGGAATACCTGACCAGTCGCTATATTCCCAGCCCAAACGTACGGCTAGTAAGGTTGACTTTATAGTTTATAATATTGCAGTAACACTAACCTTGTTTTACAAAACATTTATACTAAACCATTCAAATTCTCCTTCAATCCAAACCCATGAAATTTCATATATTCATTTTTTATGGATATCTCAGGTACTTGTAATTGTTGCTGTACACAATGCTGTTTTATTTTCTTGCTAAGTATAGGCTAAAATTTACCTATTAATAACCTTATTCAATTCTTCATTAATCCTATGCATACCTCAAATTATCGGGTCTCCTATAGCCAATACGCTCACGCTTTACAGTAATACTTGTTTTGGGTTTCTTATTGTATTCCTGCAACTTTTGCCTTCCTTTTTCCAAAAAATACGTCCAGAATGAAGAACTCATTTCCGCCTAGACATCATTCCTTCAATTACCCTTTTAGTTACAAACAACACTTCTGGATATACTTACGCGGAAGTTAGACTTGCCACCCTCCCCACCCGCACCTCTGATCCATGCCAATGCGTTCACATCAGACTCATTTTCGTAACTATAATAAGCGTTTTTCATGTTATTACTTCTCTACAACTCAAATTCTATATAATCCTCACCACACCACTTCCTTCAAAAATTCCAATGCTAAATCTGAGCATTTTTATTCTCTTGATTGGGAATGAACAAGACCCTGATCTGTTTTGATAACACGTGTTTATTTACTAACTCTTGTTGCTTCTTCACTCTTTCCTTCTGGTCCACATTAGAAGTTTCAAACCCAGCTTTCTATAAAAACCTTCATTCTAACAAACTAAACATCCCCAAAATTCAAAGAAATAAGTACCACTAGAAAATGTTAACTTACTTCGGACATCTGTTCTTCCTTCAAAAAAGAAACAGACAAAACGATAAACTCTAGTTGGTGAACTAAGGAGCAACTCTATAAAGCATAATATAATTTTATAATACTACCCTTATAAACCAAAAATCTAACTTAATGCAGATGGTTCTATCAAAAAAATATTATCACTCACGGGTGACAAATCGACGAACAAAACTACACTAGTTTAAATACAGACACACCAATCAATTATCTCTGTAAACCATACTATCATATAAAAACATAAAAAACAAATGCACTCATCGAACAACTCAACCAAAAATTTCTCTCGGTTCTTAATAACAACTAACCTGCTTCCTCAAAATCAGTTCCAAAACCAATATCAGAAACGATTTAATTGATTCCAAGGATCTGATGTAGATACAAGAAACAAATTCCTTAAATAAAAAAAGATTACTGTTAACAATCGGCCAATTATTAGCATAAATATACAACATGAGTATCTCACTCGTTGTTTCCTTACTTATAAAACTTCAATAAACCAAAAGGACTACCACTGAGAAATACTCACGTGATACCAGGTCGTGGATAAAACAATGAAATTCGATAAACATTCACACCTATCGACGTGCCTCTGTAAACATAAACTACCATTTAAAAACTTATAGTAAATGCTTAATATATCTAACAAAATATTTCATTCGCAATAACAACTCACCTTAACCTTAGCTATCAGATAAGACAATTCACAGATAACTAAGAAATATGATATTGACGCAAACAATGGAGTTCCTATAATGATAAATTGTTTAATAGGCGCAAACAATGTAGTTCCTATAACGATAGATTGTTTAATCAATCTCCCAATTACAAGCATACCCATACACCATATATAATTCATTATTCACTGGTGTACCCAAAAAACTCCGACAATACAACAACTAATGTTAAGAAATACTTACGTGAGACCAAACGTGTAATAGGACGAAGGAAGTCGAAGAAAATTTACACCAATCGATTCACTTCTGTAACTAAGATTGATTATTAATAATATATAATACGAATACGGATTAGGTAGCTCAAATTTAACAACGATTAACAATGAAATGTTTCTCATTCTTCATAACAACTTACCTGCCTCAATGGGAAAATCCACAGGTAAAAATCCAAGTCCAGAAAACAAGTTCCAAGGCTATAGCTTAAAGAACAAGCCAGAAGGTTTCCTATAAACATGAATTAAGTAATCAAGTCTTCATTGTAGATACACAAATATACCTTAGAAAGTATATACAAGATAAACATAATCAATAACTTATAAATTACAAAAGACTATTATTAAAAACTATTACTAAAAACACTTACCAGTGAAAAAACTCCACGGATAAAACGATATATGAATTCCAGCGTAACTGCAAACCAATTGATTTCTCTCTGTAACTACAAAAAAATGAAAAATTCATATAGCGCAATACACATCCTTTCATTCTATAAACCAGTAACTTTGTGTGTCGGTTTGTATGTTTGTATGTATGTAGGTTTGTATGTATGTTTGTCTGTCCGTCCGCAAAATACTTCACGGGTTCGAGTTCGCTGGAGGCGAAAACGACCGCTAGGCAAACCGGTAACCGACTGGGAGGATG